GATGGATAGGTGGTCGTGCAGGAGGAAGTGGCACCGGAGGCGAAGACTTAGTCGCAACTGGAACAAGAGGAATGGGGTCCGGAATAGGAGATGGAAGCGGAAGGAGAAGAGACATCCGACCCAAAAAAGAAAGGAACCGACTCAAAGAAGGTTACATCGAGACACACAAAACAATGTCAAGAACTAGGACTGTAACATTTGTACCCTTTCTGGGTCCTAGAATAACCAAGAAAGACACTTTGTAGATTGTGCATCCAACTTGTCTAGTCCAGGGCCAAGGTTATGAACAAAGCAAACACATCCGAAAACCCGAGGGGTAAGAGGAAAAGGGGACAACATAGGAAACAAAACCGAGAAGGGAAACTGACCATCAAGGATGGACAAAGGCATTTGGTTAATAAGAAAGCAGGATGTAAGCACAACATCACTCCAGAACCGTTTGGGAACATTCATTTAGTGCAACAGGGACCGAGTGGTTTCTAAGAGATGGCGGTTTTTCCTCTCAGCTACCCCGTTTTGTTGAGGGGTGTAAGAGCAAGAGGTTTAATGAATAATATCGTGTTGTTCTAAATATTGTTGAAGTAGTGTATAAAAATATTCTCGGCCTTTATCTGAACGTAGAATTTTAAGATGGATACCAAATTGAGTGCAGATTTCAGCATGAAACTTTTGGAAAATAGAAAATAATTCATTTTTTCTTTCATAAGATAAAGTCATGTCATCCTTGAATAATCATCAACAAAAATAACAAAGTATTTGTATCCATTGTGTGACACTATTTTATTTGGACCCCAAATGTACGAATGGACCAAAGAAAAAGGACTCGACAAATGACTCTCAACTCTAGGACTAAAGGAAACCCGATGATGTTTCCCATACTGACACAACTCAATCTAAAGTAGAAAGACGACTCAATGATGGAACAAGTTGCTTCAGAGCTTTAAGAGACAGATGACCAAGTCTGCAATGCCACTGGAGAGGGGAGAGAGATGAACCACCATCACTAGAAATGGATGACTGAAGAGCCGTTGACGTTCGTCCACCACCATCAAGATAATACAGTCCACCGGTTTCATGCCCTCCACCAATTTTCATCCCCGTCTTGAGATCCTGAAATACACAAGATGAAGGATAAAAAGTGATAGAGCAATTAAGAGACTTGATTAATTTACTAACAGACATAAGGTTAAAAGGAAATTTGGGAACATATAGAACTGAAGACAAAGATAGTGAACCAGTGTTAACATCACCAATACCACTTATGGGGGAAGTGGAACCATTAGCAAGGGTGACAGTATGGGTAGTAGAAGATGAAGAAAGTGAAGAGAACACACCTGGAGTCCTAGTCATATGATAGGAAGCTCCAAAATCAATGATCCAATGGGAGGGTTTGGATGCAAGACAAGCTATACCTAAGTGGGTAAGTGTAGTTGTACTCGACTGAGAAATTGACTGGATTAACCACTCATATTCAGTACGTGAAATACTCATAATCTCTTGTCCAGAGGCATCTATAGATGTAGGTGTCTGACTGGTCTGTTGATTCCCTTGTTCTATACCACCATTAGTCACTGTATGATTTGCCTAAGATGAAGGTGGACCATGTAGATCATAGCAAAAATTAATAGTGTGTTCATCCATACCACAATGCGTACACCTCCTTGGACCATTATTACGTCCTCTACCACGAGTTCCCCCTGAATCTCGGCCTCCAACATGCCCACCACCACGACTGTACATGTGTCCACCTCTACTACCACGGCCTGGCTGACTCTGATGAGCAACACCTCTACCACCACGACCTCCCCCCCTTGTCACTGCAAAAGCAGACCTGTCCGATGTGGTAGGGTTTTCCAGATGTCCAATGGAAGTCCTCCGGAGACGGGCAAACACCTCTTCAAGAGAGGGGAGGAAAGATCCACCCAGAATTTGAGCTCTCACCGGTTCATATTTAGATTTCAATCCCACCAAAAATCTGGTAACATCAAGCTGTTCTCTCTGCTGTTGCTGAACTTTGACATCTGATGTAAGAGGGTGATACACATTCAACTCATTCCTAAGATTCCTCAGACTAGCATAGTACTCCTCAAGACTCTAATTACCTTGTTGTAGATTAAAGTACTCTTGATAGAGTTGGTATACCCTAGTGGTATTGTCTTGCCCTGAGTAAAGTTTCTTTGCATGATCCCAAATTTCCTTTGCTATGTCTAAGAACATAAAGTTCACACTAATCTTGGGTTCCATGCTGTTCCATAACCAAGTCGTAATCTGTGCATCTTCTTGTTCCCAATCACTGTATTCTTCAGATTCAACTAGGGGTTTTTCTTCTCTCACATGTTTCACTTTTTTCTTAGCTCTGAGAAACACTTCAACAGATTTGGCCCAAGGGACGTAATTTTCTCCGTTCAGTTTGATGTAGGTCATTTGCACATTCAAGTAGTCAGGAGGGACCATAACAGATTTCTATTCACTGTTGTCTCCCATGGCTGCCAAAAAAAATATTAATTTTTTTTTATTCACACTAATATGTTACCTCAACTCACCAACACCCACCACACTACACTCCTATAGTTGAGCAATCACCACTATCCCACAACACTTGCGGCTGACCATTGCTGAAACATCCACTGTCACAGATTTCAGCAATGGTAGTTAAACAGTCTCCTCCTCTTTTGGCACCTCACAAGAGACCACCACACACAAGAACATCACACAGCACTCCACATACCTTCGACCACCTGTCTGAACCACATGCCTGAACACAAATCACGATTCTACTGTAGCAACCCTCATCGGTCCATCAGAGGGTGCCCTACCAGCCACCTGAAACGACCACACTACACTCAACTAGAGGCATTAAAACCTCTAGAAGGAGAAAGCGACCACTCCTTTTCAGCCTTTTTGACAAACTCCAAAAACCCTAAGAGAAATCTGCAAAAACCTCAACTAGGGCGTGCAGAGACTGTACAGATCCGAACCAATCTAATATAGCTCTGATACCATGATAAAGTTCAGATCTGTAAACCTGTAGCCTTCAGATTAATCAAGGAAGAAACATTTCTCTTCATTCGACCAGGGTGTATTACCTTTCTAATTTACATACAAATGACCATTATACCCTTATTTAATCAACACTAACACTCCCCCTCAAGCTGGAGAGTATATATCATATAGTCCCAGCTTGTTACATATGTAGTCCACTCTTGCCCGACTCAACCCTTTAGTGAATACAGAAATATAAGCAAGCTGGGAATGATTGACATCTATGATCAACTTGAGGGAGAGTGTGGAAAAGATGGGCTGAGTTCTAGTGGGTAGTACTAATGAGCCTTGCTTTAATGACCCTGTTAGCCTATTCCTTTACTGTTAATTTATAGCTGCCCCAATCAGGGGTATTATCGTGATCTTCAGAATTTTTTGAAAGATAACTAAAAGAGATCAACAAGGACTGGAGATCACTATTCTCTCTTCTCCTTCCTTCGTTCTATTCTATTTTTCCTTCTTTTTAACTCTAGCTTCTACCCCTCCACTCTTTCCACTATTTCCCCCTTTTGTTATACTTTTCAGCAGGTTATTTTTTCACTTCTAAATTGATCCGAGGTCTTATACCACCCAGAAGGATGCTCAGATACCATATTATCCACCGAGAAACAATAAAAAATAGAGAGGAAGAAAGGAGGAAAGAGAGAGTTTAGAGAGCCAGAAGACTTGGGTTGGCAGGACCCATTTTATTATTTATATTAGGGTGGGAGCTCAAACAAGTAAAAAAGAATAAAATTGCAATAGTGCCCCCAATGCATAACAACAAGAGAGGTTGAAGAGGATGTCACCCAAAGAATTAGAGTAGGATGGACAAAATGGAGGGGTGCATCTGGACTTTTATGTGATAGGTGAATACCACATAGATTAAAAGGAAAATTCTATAAAACAGTTTAAGGCCAGCAGTGCTGTATGGAGCAAAGTGCTGGGCAGCTAAGAAACATGTTCGAAAAATGAGTGTGGAAGAAATGCGAATGCTAAGATGGATGAGTGGAAAACTAGAAAGGATAAGATCATGAATGAAGTCACTATGGGAACCTAGGAGTAGCTCCAATAGATGTAGACAAAGATGGTTTGATCACATGCATAGAAGGCCATCAATGGAACCAGTTAGAAGAAGTGATTTGTTACAAGTGGAAGGGCCTTGAAGGGCTAGGAGCAGTAATAAATGATTTAAGCACTGATAATTTAACAGTGGCTATGGCATAAAGTAGAATAAATTGAACAGGATTCTTGTAGCCGACCCCCATATAGTTGCAATAAGGCATGGATGATGATAATGACCTTGCTAGATGAGAATGGGGCTATAGGTTGTTGGTCTTTTCTTGTTTTCAGATTTTATGGCCTCCTTTTGAGCTTCCATGCTGGAAAATTTGATCTAACCATGCACATGCTGCCACATCATAGTAAGGTGATTGTTCTGTTTACATGATTTAAGAAAAAATGAAAATGTTTTCTACACTGAGTCATTATCTAACATCAGATCATTTATTTAAAGATTGTATAGATGTACAAATGGTGACTTTTCCCTTTATAAAGGAAACAAGAAAAATCAAGGGCTGGGATTTGGTAGTTCCCATGATTCTTAGTTAAATGTCAAAATCAAGTCAAAGGAATAACACATAACTGATCAGGTTTCTTATTGATATAATACATTAACGTTTTTTTCCTCATTATCTGAGCATGTGTTCTTTTTTCCCTTTAGTTAAGACTGCATAGGTAAGTGCATCTAAAAAGACAGCCACAGAAGCATTGCCACTAATTTGACTTCCTCTTTGCTTACAATTTTCTTATAAGGTTAACTACCATTTCCTATTTACCTAAACACTGATTCTTCTTTTCATGCATATGCTATTTCAATTTTTATATATATTTATTTTCTCTAGGTTGAGCTGGTACTTTAGTCAAAGACATTTCTTTAATCTTGTTATTTACTTTGTCAAATGCTTTGACTAATTCAGGTGAGTGAAAAAGCTGGAGGCTATACTAATAGACTTGTTGTGACCTGTCTTAGAAGTGGTCTTAATCGAACATTCCGTGTCCTACAAAAGCCAGAACGTGCTCCTATAAGAGCTTTAAGGGCATCTTCATCTGGAAGGTTGTTTCCGGATCATAACCATGGTATTCATGTAATCTATTTATCAGATACACCTGTAACTAACATGGTCTACAACCTTTTATTAAACCTGCACTCTAGATTCTTCTTTTGGTGTAACATGAAATCCATCTTTGTGTAGTTTGTTTTCATGAAGATGGAATCATGGAACTAATGTAACTGTTGACGACTTGGCAGCATAAAAACTGTAATCAACTAGAAGGATATATTTGTTTTTTTTTTTTTTTTTTGCATGGGATTGTTGTTTTGACCAAATTAATTACTTAATTGTTTATCTAGTACATTAGATGACTTACTGGTTTCGTGCCATGTATAATAATTAGTCTAACTCTTATTCGATTCATTGTTTGTGCCTGTTATTATCCTACTTATTGTTTGTTTCTCTAATGTCTTATTTATTACAGAAAAGTAGGAATTCTATTACTTTGTCTCCATATGTTCATTGGGTTCTAGGCATAATACATAATTTAACTCATTTGATTGTTCAGATATGGATGTGTTATCTCCTACCTATTTGTGGTTTTAAATCCCTAAAACATCTTGTCTGTGTAACCTGGTCTTTGTGTGTGTAACTATAACATGGAGACTTGCACCAGTGCTCTTCTGAGATGTAGACCTTGAAGACTTGGACATGCATAATTTGTCTTTCTATCTGTTACTATTAAATTTTTTGAAGAAAGGTAAAGTATTGCAGTATATTAAACAAAAATAGAATATAGTGCCTTTAGCCATATACAACCAAAGTATCCTAGTCAAAATGTGAAGTTTCCTGTTAGCTAGCCATTAACATGAAAACAAAATATCCTTGTTAAAAAATCTGCTACAAGAAAACAAAATACCCCTACTGCCTTTAGTTTATTTATATTGTTTAGTTAGTATGTTGGGACCACGGTTCTTTAGCTAGGAGTTGTTTAAATATTAATTTATTTTTTTCTTTTCTTAAGTTGTTTGTAACAACTGCCCTATCAAGTGTATATGTGCCATTGCACTCATTCTTTTCTTAAGTATAAGATAACGGGAGAGGGCGGCCAGCATCGTTGACTTGTCTTCCTTTTCTTCCTTCTTTATCTTCTTCTCTTCTCTCACAAATTCTCTCTTTATTTCTCTTCTCTTCGCAATTTTATTTTTTCTTGTTGATTTATACTAAATGCATTTTTAATATCTAATTGATGTAAGGTCCAATGATGAATAGCAGCTAGGGAGATAATTACATGAACAAAGGTTTGTGTAAAACCTTTAGAAAAAACCTTTAGAAAACCTTTAGAAAAAATCTGGCTTGTGTAAAACCTTTAGAAAAATTCTGGCTTTAAGCCTTTCTACTAGTCCATCAGGCTGAAACTTTATTGATACACCCACCTACAACCAAACACTTTTTACTAGGAGGTAGCGGAACCAAATCCCAAGTCTCATTTTGATGAAGTACTAACATCTCTTTCTCCATAGCTATCCTCCACCCAAGATCAGATAAGGCTTCCTACACAAACTTAGGGATAGGAATGGTAGACGGAGAGGTAACAAAAGTGTGGGCAGACAGAGACAAAGATTTATAAAAAACAAAATGGCTAATGGGATTCAAAATGCAAGAGGATTTTCCTTTTTGAAGAGCAATGGACAGGTTAAGATAAAAAGTTGCTATGTGAGGCTGAGGTGGCTCGATCATGTTGGAGGCAGTAAGTAGAGGACCCTCAGGCAGCATAGAAACTGATGGCATACCTTGAGTAGGAGGCCTTCTCAGATAAACATGGTGGATATGTGGACAACCGTGATGGAGAGGGGGGTCAATCAAACATAGGAACATGGTGCATCAAAAATCTGATCACAAGACAAATAAGAATAATAAGGAATAGACTCATGAAAGGTCACATCTGCACTAACAAAATGACAATGGAGAGATGGACTGTAATGATTATATCCCTTTTGGGTTTTAGAGTATCTCAAAAATATATACTTAACTACCTTCGGTTCAAGCTTATCTCACTGATTAGGAAATAGATGAACAAAGCAAACACCCCAAACACACGTGGAGTTAAGGGAAACAAATGTGTGTTAGTGGAAAGCAAGGACCAAAGTATCGGTATCAAGTACCATATTAGTAAGCATGGATATGAATACAGATATGCTTTCGAAATGCATGGATACGATGGAAATATATAGATATGTTCGGATACATTAGGGAATTCATCCCCACAAATACATTGAAAACACTAAATTTAAGGTTGAAATAACCACAAATAAAGTATAAGTAGATAAGAAATGCATATTTTAATGGTACATGTGAAGAAATACACTACAATTAATATAGTGGAATACATAAATATCATATAATTTTATCGATAATGCATGAATTAAAAGTTCATGACACATTGTATTGATTTTTACAAATTACTACACGCATGAATGCATTATTATGTTATTATTTTTATTTAAGTCCAAGACACAAATTATATGCAAGTATTAAATTTTAATTACTAAATGAATCATTTGCTATTATATTATTTTACTTTTAGTATTACCAAAAAACAAACATTAAACTCTCACATATTTTGTAAGCAATATCTTTATTTTAGTAAATTATACATATGTTGTTATCTAGTATAAATTAAAACATTATTTAATCATTTATAAAAATATATAATCTTGACATAAAAATATATCACATAGATTAAATTTTTTAAGTTACATATCATAAGAAAAATTATAAATTTCAATTAATAAAGTAATTATTCTAATATTAGTATTTTTTTATAAAGTTTCTAAAATTAAAAATAAGTTTTTGATATAAATGTGGATTACTCGATTTGGTAGGCTCAAATTAATATTAAGTTCTCAAATATTTTGTAAGCAATATTTTTTAATGAAGTTATAAATAATATGTTTTTATTTTATGTAAATTAAAATATTAGTTAATCATTTATAAAAAGATTTATCCTTAACTTAAAAATATATTGGATCTATTAAAATTTCTATGATACATATCATATGCAAATTCATAAATTTTAATTATTAAAATAAAATATCTATTATTAGTATTTTTATTTCTTTAAGTTTCTCAAGATTAAAAACTATTTTTTAACATAAATGTGGATTTGATAGATTATTGATTTCATTAAAATTTATAAAATACTAATTTTGGAGAGTATTCTTTTTATTTTTTAGTATTATTTATTGGGTTTTCATGTAGATGGTAAACTAAATAAAATTTATTTTGTCTCATTTCTTAATCTAAAATGAGAAGTTGGGTTAGTAGTTTAAGAAACGGAAAGGAAATTTGAGAAAGAGGTGGTTGGAAGGAGTATTTTAAGTCAATTTATAGAAGGCCCTTACATCAAAGATTCTAGGTAGAAGGGTTGGACTGGCCAAGACTCCCTGCCAATGTAGGGTCTGGGAAGGGACAGATATGCACAGCATTCATGCAGAGAGTTTGTTTCCAAGATTTGAACCCTGGTCACCCAGGTTGCAATGGAGCAACCCAAACGTTGCACCAAGGCCCACCATAGAAATGTATAAATTTAATACTATAATTTGTGTAAAGAGACTAGGCCTAATGGGTCCTAGTATCTTCTCTTGTAATATTTTTTCTATTTTCCTGTTAGCTAATGGGCCTGTTATTTCTTTTTGTTTGATCTCTTTATGTTACTGCCTAGCTGGCCGCCCACTTAAGGGCGTACTTGTAATTATTTTAACATTAATTTTTAGTAAAAAGGATTAGAGAAGAGAGGGAAGGATTATTCAAACCTTTCTTCTTCCTCCTCCTCTTTTCTCCATCTTCTTCTCTTGTACTGCTGCTCTTACTTTTCTTCCTCCTTTTTCTCTCTAATTTTTCAAGTTTACACCTATTTTTGAGGACTGGTTTACATCAATTTGCAGGGAAATCTTTCTGATGGATACTGTAGATCTAAAAGGCTATGGCAATTCTGGATATCTTTTACACATTCAGGAGAATAAAACCCAAGAGAAAACTTAAATTTTAAAATTGGAATGCGAAGCACAATATAGTGTGATATTTACTGATTTGAGTGCTTCAATGTGCGATATTGACATTTGGTCAACACTAGGAATGCCAAATCAGTAAGGGTTCTTATACGATTCTGATCTATATCCTATGATTTATATGACATAGAATGAGTAAGAGAAGATTGGTGCAATTAATTGAGAATCCTATTTAGTCTTTTGCGTGCTTGTACAAGAGCTTTTCTCTCATGATGAAACTATCCAATGTGCCCTTCCATTGAGTGAACCATTGACTTTGACAGATTCATTTTGTTTTTCTTATTCTCTTTTCTTTCTTTCTTTATATATTTATTTATTTTCTTCTTTTTTTACGTATAGAAAATATTCTGCTGTTACAATGAGATCTTTTTTAATGGTCTTTAATTTTGTTCTAGAGTATGACTTGAACTAATTGCAGGTATCTTCTTATTTTGCTTCGCGATGCACCTGTGGAGGTTTGGGCTATGACGAAGTGTCCTATTATGGTATATAAACCCCTTTTGTTTCTTTTTGTCTTATATGAAATCTTCTTTTTGTCAACTTCTTGTTTTTGGGACTAATTGAATCATCTAATAGTATTCCATTGATAAACTTCCTAAGCTGCAATTCACTGCCCTGTTTGTCCCTCCAATGGGCTTATTTATACATGGTAGAGTACTGTTACTTTTGTCCTGCACTTTATTATAATCTCCTTTGGAAGTGGTTTATTAATTGTGCACTGTACTCTGTATGCCCATCATGTTTGAGATGTTGAGGATGATATACAGCTAAAAAATCTAATCATTTGTCATTCCTTCTCAATCATCATCTAAGCCTTTTCCCTACCATATGAGGCTTCTTACATGAATCTTGTTTTGCCATTCCATTCCGTCAAGTTCCATATTCATTGATAAATTATTGGTGCTTAAATCATTTCTTACTTCTTCAATCCATGTCCTTTTTGGTCTACCCCCTGAAGGGTTTTTATTTCCTTTTCCTGGACTGGTGGTGTTTGAAATTATTGTTTCCCTCTTGTGGAAGGAGTTCTTTGCATTCCGGTTGCTTGAAGTGGACTGTTAACTGACAAGCATACTTGGTTTCTTCTCTTGTTGGTGTTGTTTCTATTTTCTGTACAAGTTGTTTGTGTGGTTGTTACACTTGTTGTGTTTGGGCAATGTCAACTGATGATTCATCCATATCCGAAGTCAATGGAGGTCAGAATATGGTCAATCTAGGAGCTGAAAACTGGGGTTTCCCTGTTTCTATTACTGTCCTTGATGGACTGAATTATTTGCAGTGATCGAAAAGTGTTAAACTGTATGTGGGCTCAAGAGGAAAGCTTGAATATTTGTCTAGTGATGTCCCTCAACCAAAAGAGGCTGATACAACTTTAGATAAGTGGGATCAAGACAATTATTTGATTATGTCTTGGCTTGTAACCTCCATTCACCCTAGCCTGAGGAATAACTTCATGTTGGCTGATACAACAAAGGAGATTTGGGATCAAGTTAAGGCTACTTTCTCTGAGCAGAGGCATACGCTCATATTTATCAACTACAAGTTGAGTCATCCAATTGTAAACAAAGGGAGAAAAATTTGTTATTGTATGGAAGGAACTTGATTATTATCAAACTATTGATTGGTAGAATGAGTCAAATGCAAAAGAATACAAAAAACTTGTGAACCAACAGTGAGTGTTTGCCTTCTTGGATGGTTTTAACCCTAGTCATGCATACGCTCGTATTTATCAACTACAAGTCGAGTCATCCAATTGTAAACCAAGGGAGAAAAATTTGTTATTGTACTATTCTTCCCTTACCTTGATGTGGAAGGAACTTGATTATTATCAAACTATTGATTGGAAGAATGAGTCAAATGCAAAAGAATACAAAAAACTTGTGAACCAACAGTGAGTGTTTGCCTTCTTGGATGGTTTTAACCCTAGTCATGAGCCTATCCGGGTTCAAGTTTTAGGGAGCAAAGAACTCTCATCACTTCAGGAGTGTGAAGAAACTCCTTGATGTACCATATTACTGTAGTTCCTATTGTATTTTATCTCTTGTTTTCTCTTCAGCGCTGCAAGGGCCTCTCTGTAAATCCTCTAATATCTGTTGCCCTACAAGGGCCTCTCTGTAAACTCTCTAATTTCATTATCTATATAAAGGACCCTTGGGGTAGGGTCGAAGCATCCATTTTCTTCACCCCAGAATTCTGTATTCTTCTCTGGGCTTGTTGACATGGTATCGGAGCAGGCTGCTCTGTAATTTCTGTTTTTCTTTTCTTTCCCATTGGCCATATCAGGGGTATTGTTTTCTGGGTGTCTCGACTGGTGTTAGGGTTGTGCTCTTCAAACCTAATCCTAGTTCTCTGTGGAGGTTTCTGTCTTGTGTTAGGGTTGTCCCCAGATCTGTTTTACTCACTCAGAAAATCTGTGAGATCTGAAAAGTCTTGGGGGAGTTCTGACCTTCTCTCCTGGGTGGCAGCAGCCTTCTTTCTTCTATCGTGAACTGGTTCCTCCAAGGTAGCAGCAGCCTGGCTTCTTATGGTTCAATTTTGAACAGCAGCAGACTAAGAAATCTCAACAGTCTGGCTTCTTTCTCCTTCAACAGCAGCAGTTTTTGAACCTTTTTTTTCTGGTTTCTTATGCTTCAGACTGAGGAACTTCAACAGACATAAGGTCTTCTCTGGAAAACTTCTCATTTCAGGTTGGTGTATCTCACTATTGTCTTAATCAACTATTATCAGTCCTTGGAACCCTAGTTTTGTGCTGCCCTAGGGTATTTTCTTCTCTCGGTTATCAGTCCTTGGAACCCTAGTTGGTGCTGCCCTAGTTTTGTGTTGTTCTAAGTTGTTTGTTGGAGGATTTTGATTCCTCTGTAAAGTTTTCTTCTGAAGTTTCTCTGGATTGGTATTGTCTGCATTCCATGCTTCAGCCTTGATATTAATTATTTTTTTGAGAAATATTTTGTTCGGTTGAAGTAATTCACTGCCTAGTTCATTGCTGATTTAAGTGCACTGATTAACATTGCAAACATCAGTGCTGCTATCCTTTTCCCTGGGTTGATTTTTCTCATTTATGATGGCTGAAAAGATTGACTTTCTCCTTGTAAAATTTGATGGAACTAACTACAGCATGTGGGAGTTCCATTTCAATTTCTATGTTGAGGGAAAGGGACTTGAAGGTTACTTGAATGGGACTGTATGTAAACCTCATGAGGTTGATAGTAAAGCCTATACACAATGGAAGCTAGACAACGGAAAGTTAGTCTCCTAGATTTTGAGCTCCATTGTGTCTCACATTAGTGTTCCCATGAGAAGGCTGAGGACTGACTATAAGATGTATTCCTTTTTGAAAAAGGTTTATCATCAGTCCAATATGTCACGGCAATACCAGATTGAATCTGAAATCTTTGCCTATTGCCAGGGGACAAAAAGATGCAAGAATACTATGTAGGCTTTATTGATCTCTGGGATGAATATAAACTAGTTCATACTGAACCTTCTGATCCCGTTGAGTGTATCAAGTATTTGCAGAAGCATTTTGAAAATAAGAAAATGAACCAATTTCTTATGAAGTTGAGACCTGAGTATGAAATAATCAGGTCAAATATTTTGAGTAGAGGAACTCTTCCAAACTTAGACTCAGTGATGGGAAAGTTGTTGAGGGAAGAAACTAGACTCCTAACTGCTACAAACATAGAAGGGAAACATCTTGATTTAGGGACTGATACTGTTTTTCTTACACGAGGGAACAAGAAATCTAGTGGAAAAGGCCCTTCTAAAACTCAATGCTATGAATATTAGGGATATGGACATATAGCTTCTCATTGCAAAAAGAAGAATGTCTGCACCTTTTGCAAACAACACGAACATATCATTCTAGACTACCCAATTCGTTCACCCAAGGGTCCCATGAAGAAGAATCAGCCACGAGCTTATCAAGCATCTAAGGGACAAGTGTCTAATACCTCTATTGCTAAGGGAGAATCCTCTACTTCCATGAATAAGGAAGAGATTCAACAAATAGTATCCTCTGCCATCTCATCTACCTTTTTTTCTATCGGCCTATCTGGTGAGTAGGTTTCAAAGTATCGATACGATACACGTATGGCAGTATCGTATCGGTACTTAGAAACGCACAAAACTCTTTTTTTTAGTTTTTTTTCAAATTTTGGTTTTTTGGGAAGATAAAAATAGGTTTTTTTATTAAAAAAAGTTGGGGTTCCGAAACACCTGTTACAGGTGTTTCAGAGCGTATCTTTTTCAAAAGATACGATATGATACGCCCGATACGGGGCATATCGTATCAATACTTTAAACCATGTTGGTGAATTCTTCGGTTATTGTCCTTCTCCCTCTCACATTTGGATAATTGATTCTAGTGCTACAAATCGTATGACTGGGGCCTATCCTAAACCTTCAAACATACTGTCTGAGACCAACCATAGACATATATGTCACTGCTAATGGTGAGAAACTTGACATCATTGGGAGTGATGATTTGTGCATCAAACTTTCCCCTTTAAACTCCTTGTCCCTTGCTAAAACTTTCCTAGTTCCTAAACTTACTACTAACCTTATTGTAGTTGGTCAACTAGTTGATGAAGGTCACATTCTAACCTTTTCCTCTAATGGTTGCTTGATTCAGGACCAGTTCACTGGGAAGGTGAAAGGGAAGGGGCGTAGGATGGACCGCTTGTTTTCTCTAGAGTTTGAGAAATCACAATCGACATCATCCTCTGCTTATTTGAGCTCTTCTACATTGAGTCCTATTTTGTGTCAAAGAAACTATGTTTGGGACTTGTGGCACAAACGTTTGGGTCACCCAAATTCTGAAAAGCTTAAATATTTATTTTAAGTTTGGTTTTATTAAAACTAATTCCATCTATGAAATCCTTTGATACATCTTGTGTTTGTTGTTGTTTAAGAGTCGTATTTTACCATTCACTTGTCAAGTTGAACATGCTACTTCACCTTTTGAAATTATTCGTAGTGATGTTTGGACTTCACCTGTTGTTTCTCGAAAGGGATACAAGTATTTTGTGTTATTTATCGATGATTGTACCAGATACACTTAGATCCACTTTCTCAAACACAAATCAGAAGTTTTTCCAACCTTTCGGTTATTTCATAACATGGTTCGAGTTCGGTTTCAAGCGAATGTGCAGACCTTATGCTTAGGCTCAGGGGGAGAATACAGTGACAGAGAATTTCTGGTTTATCTAAAACATCATGGCGTACAAGTCCAACAATGTTGTCTAGAAACTCCTTAGCAAAATGGTGTGGCAAAAAGAAAGAATGGCCACATTCTCAGTGTTGTAAGGACTCTCTTACAAGAGCCACATGCGCCTCCCACATTCTGGGTAGAGGCCGCTAGCATGGTAGTGCATCTGATCAATTATATCCCATCTTTTGTTCTTGCTAACATATTTCCTCATCAGAAGATGTTTGGATCTCCCCCAGATCTTTCCCATCTTCATGTCTTTGGGTGTCTATGCTTTGTTCA